GGGAAAGAGGAAGAATCATTTATTTACATTCTGTTTTCTTGCTTAAAGCCGCAGATGTTAGTGTAAGGTACCACTGTCCAGAGCTGCAGCAAAGCAGTTTTTTTTTTTTTTTTTGCGGTACGCGGGCCTCTCACTGTTGTGGCCCTTCCCGTTGCAGAGCACAGGCTCCAGACGCTCAGGCTCAGTGGCCGTGGCTCACGGACCCAGCCGCTCCGCGGCATGTAGGATCCTCCCGGACCGGGGCACGAACCCGTGTCCCCTGCATTGGCAGGCGGACTCCCAACCACTGCGCCACCAGGGAAGCCCCAGCAAAGCAGTCTTAAACAAGTAAATTCCAACTTTCTGTCACATCACTGTTACTTAATTTTAAAAGTATGCTTTTTATCAGTCATGTGGTGACATGTCCATCATAAAGTATCTCTTTAACTTTTTGAAGTGAGATGTTTAATATTAGTTTTAAGGTATTATTTCTAAAACATAGTACTAAATCTCAAAAACAAACAGACACACACTACTATATATATGACAGGTAACCAACAAGGACCTATTGTATAGTGCAGGGAGGTCTACTCAATATTCTATGATAACCTATATGAGAAAAGAGTCTAAAAAAGAATGAATATATATTTGTATTTGTATAACTGTATCACTTTGCTGTACACCTGAAACTAACAAGACATTGTAAATCAACTATACTCCGAGAAAATTTAAATAAATAAATAAATAATAAAATAAAATCAGAAACCAATGACTGTGATGAGACATTAAAGAAAAAAAGTGTGCCAAGTGTTTTGTTTATTTTCCTATTTATTCCCTGTTTATTTCCACTTTTCTGATAATATATGACCTCAGTAGGCATGTTAGAAAGTTAAATAATTTTTTTGGCAACAGTGTATGTTACTAAAATTTTCTTTCTTTTAGTTTAAGTTGTTAAAAAATAAAAACTCCAGGAGAGCATAAAACTACACTAAAATTCATATTCTATGACCAAATGCCTAGAATTGTGACTATAAATGCCATTCTGTATTACCTGGTAGTCAACTTGTAAAATATGTTGCCAGTTTAATACCTCTACTTTCTTAAGTCCCATTTCCAATCTAAATTTAACATAATCTTAGATTCATACCTCCCTGTACATAGTTACCCCTTTTTCCCCACTTATTGATAATCATCATGTACTAATAAGCCTTTCATTTTGAAAATTCCAGGCACTTTACCTAATTTACAGTTATAGGACTCATTTCACTCTTACTAAACTCATATACAGCCTGTCCAGAAGTGGAATATAAGAAATGTTAAAGGACCACAAGAAATAGACATTTTATAAAAGGAAAAGAAAAAGGGTGAAATTCTGTTAAGAATTTTTACCTCACACAAAGTGCAAAAGGACCTTTACTAATCACATATGATCCAACCTACAGTTTTATAGCTTCTCCAAATATATGCCTAGAGCATCAAAAATGAATCTATACATCACTTGAGGACAGCAGGTCCCAAAATATTTTCTGCAGGCTTACTTTCCCCAAGATGTTAATGGGGGAAAAAAGTTTCATAGTCAAATAATTTTGGGAAACATCACCAATCAAAGCAGCCTCTTAAAGATTCATGGTGAATGTTAGCATATTAAAAACTTTGAAAGGTCCTGTGATTAAGAAACTTTTTCAAAAGTGTTAATCCAGCATTTTACAAAGTTTGTGGGGTTTTTTGTTTTTTTTGGTTTTTTTTACTAAGGTAAGCTTTTTCTCTGCACACCTGTTAACATATTGTATTTAGCGCTATAAGGAAAATAACTTGGGAAATGTTGTCTGAAAATAAAGCAGAATAAAGTATCAGCAAAACAAACAAAAAAGAGACTGTGGAAAGTTTACCGGTTTTCAAGAACTATTCTTATTGACTCCTTGTTTAGATTCTGGAACAGAACATGTCTGAATTGGAATACTGTCTCTACCACTTTAACTCTTTTAACATAGGCAATTCAGTTAATCGCCAAGTCTCAATATTCTTATCTGTAAAATGGAGTTAGTAATAGTATCAAACTCATAGTGGTAAATTACTGTGGTTTCAAAAGGGCCTAGGCCAGTAGTGGGCACACGGTGGTGGTGATGGTGATGGTGATGATGATGATGATGATGATGATGACAGAGACAATAATCACATACAGAATTCCAAAAGAATTTTCCTCAATAGTTGATTATCTCAAATTCCCATCCCCCACCCCCATTAAATTATCTGGAAAAAAGTTTTTTAACTCATCTTTTAATTTGTCAATCAGCAAATAAAGGTAGCATTTTGTACTCCTGTAATTATTGAAAGATATTTATAAATAAACTAGATATAGGAAGCGTCTTAGATTATTTGATCAAATTACACTCAGTAGTACTATTAATTTTAAAAATCATTTTGTGTTTAAAAACTTTATTTTGCATTTAGAAAACTCTATTTTCTTTAATATCCCAAATGCCTCTGAATTAAAATCTCAGCACTGTGGGATCCAAAGCAGAAAACCCAGTCAAGCCCACCTAGACTTCTGACTTACAGAACTGTGGGCTAATAAATTGGTGCTTTAAACTGCTAAATTTGTGATAACTTGTTAAGCAGCAAGAGAAAAGTAATACAGTAAGTCACTATCATCATCCCTTTTTTAGAGAGAAGGAATGCGGCACAGGTTGGTTAGGTAAATTGCCTATGGTCTCAAGTTAGTGTCAGTCTGAATCCAGAAACCACTTTATTCTACTGGTAAAAATCATGGAGGGTCAGCTCTATGCTAAGCACTAATGCATCTTTAAATATATTGCTTCACTAAGTCATCCCAACAACATTTATGAAGTACATATTATTATTATTTCTATTTAACAGTTGAGGAAACCAAGGATCAAAACATGTCAGTAATTTGCCCAAGATTAAGGCAGCAATGAGGGATGGAGCCAGGAGCCATGATATGAGCCCTGGTTTGATTCCAGGAGCAATTTTCATAACCATTATGCTGTAGCATCTATTTAGTCAGGGGTCTAACTTATCTCATTCATTTATATTTTCAATTTAAGTGGCTATAACTGTAACTGTCATTTTTTTAGTACAGTCTGCATTCTCTTTGACCTTGATTTCATTTTAGAGTATACTTTGAGTGTAGAGTTCCAAGTACATTTTAAAATTCTCTAAAATATTTGCATAACTCATAACACTTTTTTTCATTGCTCTCCATAAACACCAAGCTAATTCTTTCCTCCAGTCCTCTGTTCATGCTGTTGCCCCAATCTGAAAGGACTTCTTACAAATTCTACTAGCTGAATTCCTGTCCGTCATATCTCCCAAATTATTCCAGCACCACAGAACCACAATTTCTTAGAATTAGTACTTCTTATTTTTTTCTAGTTGTTTCATTGGTGCTAGCCTTATCTTTCCAAATAATTACAAACGGATCTTGCCATGAAGATAACTGCATTCCTTGGATATAGCTGAATGTTATGGTCTAAATTTCTTCAGTCTTTCCACTATGAACACTAAGGAAAATTCATTTTTAAAAATACACATTTTATACCAAATTCAGAGTTCCCAGTATTTCTCTGCTTGATTCCCTAATGGGTGCTGTTTCCAGAACATATGCAGGGCCATTA